GATGGTGGGGGGGGGGGCGGAGGAGGGTGCTCCTGGGACAGGGTTGCTGAGCAGAGGGGGCAGGTTGGCCTGGGCTACCCTCCCGGAACAGCTGGAAGGTACGCGTGGGCCTGGGGCGGGAGGTGGGCAGCTGCTCAGTGGAGCCCAGGAAGGAAACTCACCGGCTGCTCCCTTTGCTCAGGGAAGTAGGAGGCAAGAATAAAAGCTGAGAGTGCGGATGGAGGGGGAGGTGATGGGGACTGAAGCAGGAAGGGAGAGTAGGCGAATAAACGCCCTGGGGAAGGAAGTGCAGGGTGGCTGCCTGCCTGCAGTGGAGGCTCACGCCAGGTGAGTGGTCTTGAACTTACCGGAAGATGGGCTGTGGACATCACACATGCCTGGATGTATTTCCAGAGTAATCTAGTGTCCTCGCTCTCACTTCCCAAAGCTCACATTCTGGGGGAATGTTCTCAGTTTTTAGTCACTTAAGTGAGGACAGAGTCTGAGCCCAGAGCTTCCACCCTAACCCCTGGGGTTCCGTGCCACATGGGAAGGAAGGTGAGTGCCATCTCAGGAAGACAGAGGGCACAGAGAGGGGTGGGGTCCCCATGGCCCAGCAAGAAAGGGAACAAAAACCCATTCCTTCTGACACCTGCAGGGGGCGCTGGGGAGGCAACAACAGAGCAGGAAGACCCAGGTGTTAGAAACAAGCAGGTAAGGCTGACACCATGGCCAGACATGGGGACTTGTTGCTCAGCATCTTGGCAGGCAGAAGCCCACTTGGCATGTCCCTGGTGATAGACTGGACATGGCAGAGCAGCCCTGGGAGAGAGGAGAGGCAACCCCCCACCGCCCGCCCCCCAACACCTCTCCAGCACATCCAGTTTCCAGCAACACCACGATTGGCTGAGTGGGGACCCAAGCTCTCCTGCGGGCAGAGAAAGCCTTGGCCAGTGAAAAGAGCAGAGGCCATCTGGAGAGCGCACGGTGAAGTCACCCAGAGGGATGAAGGGAATGCTGCAGTAGTGGAGGAGTGTGAGGGTGAGGGGCCATGATTGTGGCTCATGCCAGAGGGGCAGGGTGGTGAGTGCTCAGATGGGCACCCAAAGCCCATCAGATGCAGCACCTGCCAGAGCCAGCTGTGGGGCTCCCCCATGGCTGGCCACCCTGCTCCTTGTTGAACAGCCTCACCCCAGCAACTGGGCAAGTAGGAGTAGAACCAGCACTGTCCAGGAGTCAATTTATCCCCAGATAAATAAAAATTGGGAGAGAGAGACCTTTCATTGTCAAGTTTACATCCACTCCCACATTACCAGGAGAGTAGGGACTGATGAGGAAAGTTAGAACAGTGACAGAGAAATAAAGAAGCTACAAGTGTTTGTGTGGGATCTGAGTGTGGGGGGTCTGAGTTTTCAGCTGTTACACGGATCCATGCAGTAGGATGTGGTAAGAAAAGCACAGAGGAGGAGCACTCAAGGAGGGCCTCCTGCAGAATGAGGAGGATGAAGAGTTGCCTCTTGCAGCGAGAGGGATCCTTGCCTGCCAGCTGGCAAAGTCATAGGGTTCCCAGGCACAAATGCCACTACTGGGGACTCAACACACAGATCTCTAGTCAACCACAGTGTCGCCAACCATAGTTTAAAGATCCAGCCTTTTAATGCCAAGGCATCGGGTTTCTGCTAGAAGAGGTTCCAGAACTTTCATTTAGTGCAGTTTTATATTTGACCACTAACCAATTTTTAATCCAAAATATTTTTATATATGCATTGTTCAGTTCACCTCTTTACAATACAGAGCCCAATCATGATTATATTCATCTTCCTCCGACTCCTCCCTCCGCACCCCACACACTCAGGTCACATGTAGGCTTTGTGGTATAAGATTTGGGAAGAATTTACCCATAAAAAGGAAAGCAGTAAGGACACATGCTACCACATGAATGAACTTCTGAAACATTATACTAAGTGAAAGATGCCAGACACAAAAGGCCACATATTATGTGATTCCATTTATATGAAATGTCCTGAATAGGCAAATCCATAGAGATAGAAAGCAGATTAATGATCGTAGGGCTGTGAGGGGTGGGGGAAAATGAGGAGTGATGCCTAATGGGTACAGGGTTTCTTTCTGGGGTGACAAAACAGTTCTGAAATTGATGGCGATGGCTGCACAGTGCTGTGAATATACTAAAAACCACTGAATCATACATTTAAGAATAAATTTTATGGAATGCAAGTTACATTTCAATTTTTAAAAGATGATTTAAGTTCTGCTTTCTCAAGACACAGAGACCAGAACAGGTCATCTGAGTTTATGAGAAGACCAAGTAACGATGAAACTTATCAGAACAAGCACCAAACTCATTCAATTCTAAGTGCTGATGGCTGATCTGAAAACTTGAGAGGGTGATAGTGTACATCACAGAACTTATGGGAAATTTCCACCATTCAACCTTGAATCGCTATTGATCAAGTGTCTACTATGCATGTACTGTGTGCTGCTACATGTCGGGGACGCAGTAGTGACTGAGACAGACAGGGGCCCATGGAAAAGACAGACACTTAACAAGAGCTTGCACAAATAATTACCCAATTAACATTATGCTGTAAAGGAAAATTACAGTGACTTCAGGGTTTATAAAATGAACATAATATTTTGGGGGGAGCAGGAGGAACCTCCCTGCAGAGTTAGCATTGAAGCCAAACCTGGAAGGCTGGGGGGAAGAACCATCCAGGTAAAGTAGAAGGCAGAGGAGCTAAGCAAGAAGAGAGAAAGCACCAGAAGGGCAAAGAGCCAGCAGGGAGAACAGTTGTCTCCCTATGTCACTAGCCACAGAGATCTTTCCTGAACCCATCAAGCAGAGATTCAGGCTTCTAATGCCAATACATCTGGCTTGTGCTGGAGAAAGGTGCCTTCCAGAACGTTTATGTCCTGAGATTTTAAAAAGTGTGTCTAATACCATTGTTTATTCATTCATTCAACAAATATTTATTGAGCTTCTGTAACATGCCAGGCACTGGGGATACACAAGTGAACACCAAGTGTCCCTGTCCTCCCGGGGCTCACATTCTAGTGTGGGAGACAGACAGTCAACAAGTGAACAGACAGTCAACAGGTGGAAAGAAGGTAACTTCAGAGGTGATGGCCCCTGAGAAGTCTGGGGCTGGGTGGTCTTTACACAAGGTGCTCGGCGAGGCCTGTTTGAGAGGAGCAGAGGAAGAAGCCCGCCAGGCCCAGGCTTGAGAAAAGGACCCTGGGGGAGGGAAGCTGCGGCGGGGGAAGGGGGGGTTGGGAGGAGAAAGGCTGGGGGCAGTAGTGAGAAAGCAAGAGGGAAGAGCAAGGAGGAGAGTGGGTTCGGAGAGCTCGGCAGGGGCCTCGCGGGCCACGCAGCCGACTTAATTTAGAACTGCATTTAGTTGTCAAGTGATGGGAAGCCCTTGGAGCAGGGAAATGACACATTTAATTTAAGCTTCACAAAGCTAAGCTTGGGGGGGGTGGCAAGTTGCGGGAGGTGTAAGTTGCGTGGGGGTGGGGACCAAGAATGGAATTGTAAGTACTAAGGAGAAGACAAATGGGGTGTCCCAGAACAGAAATACAAACAAAAGGAAACATGACTGAAGTACAGCGTGCTCCAATCCAGGCTGACCCTGTCCAAGTCTCAAAGTTAACAGCGCCCACTTTGGAGGCAGGCTGACCTGGGCTTAAATCTAGGCTTACCAACCGTGTGACCTTGGGCAGGTGACTTCGCCTCTGCGCGCCTCAGTCTCCTCGTCTGAACGATGGGGTAATAGCGCCTACCTGAGAGGGCTGTCGCTGACATCACGTTTGTGGGGCCCAGCTGTGCGCGGTGGGCGCCCAGCAGCTGCTGCGGCTGTGAGTAATTTGTTACTAAGAATAGTTAGCGCCCCTCTCCGGGCCGCCGTCTCGCAGCGGCCGCGCGCACAAGGCGAGGCCGGACCCCGGGCCTGGACGCCGGCTTAGACGCGGTCCCCCGGTCCCCAGTTCCAGTGCCCCAGCCAGGCCCCGCCCCCAGCCCCGCTCACCTGGGCCGCGGCGGCCCGGGGATGTGCTCGTAGCGGCTGCGAGCGCGGTGCACGAAGGTGCAGCAGAGGCCGAAGGCGAGCAGGACGGCGCTGCCGAGCAGCAGCAGCCCGGGGCTCATGGCTCCGGGGCAAGCCAGGCCAGGGTCGGGCCGGGCGCCGAGGGGGCCGGGAGGCCGCGAGCCGACTCAGCTGTCAGCGCCGCGCGCCGCCTCGGCCCCAGGCCCGGCGCGACCCAGCACCCTCCCCGCCCGCTCGGCTCCGCCCCCGCCGACTCCGACCCCTCCCAGGGCGCACCGTCCCCGCCAACCACGTCTCCGCCTCCGGCTCCGGAGCTCGGGGCCCTCCCCCGCCCCGCCCCGCCCCCCAAAGCTCCGCCCCGCCCCCCAAAGCTCCGCCCCAACCTCCACACGGCCCCAGCCCGGGCCCCGCCCCGAGCATGTAGTCTTCACCAATCACAACTCCGCTTCTGGCTCAGCCCCCCAGGCTCCGCCCCCACCTCCTCAGACTCAGGTCCGCCCCAGCAGCAGCTCCGCCCAGAACGCGTTGTCCCTGGCAACGCCGATCCCCCTCGCTCTGGCCCGGCGGCGGCGCGAAGTCCTGCTGGCTGGCTCCGCCCACTTCGGCGCCGCCAAATCACGGCATCTTTCCGCGCGCGGTCTTAGGCCCCTTCCTTTCTCCCCAAAACCTGCCCGGAAGCCCCATCCCAGCCTGCAGAAGTCCGCATGACGCCGACTGTTCCCCAACTTCTCCTTGGAACCCCAGACCCCCAAAGTTGTTCTCCAGTTGTCCCGGGGCGCCTCTTCCGCCCGGATAGTCCGCATCTAGCGCCCGTGGTCCGCCAGCGGGGCCCACGGGCTGGTGGCAGGATCCTGCGGGACCGAAGGACGCCTGTGCGCACGGCGTGGCCGGAGGCTGCTCTCCCAGAGACTTATGCGCCTACGGACCTTCCCAGACCAGGCGAAGCCCCACCTGAGGGGCTGGCTCAGGTCCGAAGGAGTTGGAGGGATGAAAATCTGGGTCCGCCCTCCAGGGAAAGCGGGAAGTGTGCCGGGGAGGCGAGGGTAGCGGAGGAGAAGGTATTTTCGAAATAATGATCAGGGCTTCCCCCTCTGTCGTAACGCACGTCTCCTTACCCATCCCGTATGACGATGAGGCCAACTCTGGGCGTTTTAGTTCCCAATTCCTATTCCGAGGGGCCACCCAGCGTGAAAGCCGTGACTGGGGACGGTCAGGTGTGCCCCACTCCTAGCCCAGGTAAAGGTCCCCGGGCTGGAGGGAGGTGCCCAGGGAGTGTAGCTGGTGCTGGGTTTCTGAGAAAAGGCAATGCCCCTGCCCCACGCTTGAGCCAGTCCTGGAGAGGTTGGGGGTTGGAAAACTAAGGGGACCTTTGTACCGCTTTCCCAGGTACAGCCAGGGACAGTCCTCGCCAGGGACATGGGACATGGCTGTTAGGGGTGTGTGGGCTGAGGGACGACGGAGAGGGCCAAGCCTTAAGAGCCGTGCCCAGCACGGAGGAGGCGGGATTTCTGCTCCCCGGGGCCACTGCAGCCTGGACAGGTGGGCAGCAGGGCGTCCATCCCCCCGACGCCTGGCCCGTCCTCCCAGTGGGACTCGGGGAAGTTGGCTTGCCACGGCGCCCCCGTGTGGCGGCGGTGACAAGCAGCCGCAGGCGCACCGGGTAACTCAGGCTGGCCCTGCTGGGGTGAGGTGAGGTGTGGAATGGGGCCACCAAGTCCCCTGTCGGCTGTGAAAGCTCCAGGGCTTGGGGGCAGTTTGGAGGGAGGATGAGGCTACAAGAAGGAGGGTGTGGATTCCTGCGCGCTGGAAGGTGGGTTGGGATGGTTAGCTAGAAAAGAAATGTGACCGCACCACATTTAGTATCCAGTTTGTGGAACAGCTCCCTGAGATTACACAATGCAGCGCACTGTCTGGAGAGGAATTTCTCTTGCCTTGTCTCTCTGGACCCCTGGAACAATGACTCTGTTAGCAGCAGCGAATCCATATGGGTCTGCAGCAGCCTAAGTTCTTGCCTTCTCAGAAGAAAGAATTCTACTGAGGGGCATAAGGTAGAGTGAGAGGCAAGTTTTAGAGCAGGAGTGAAAATTTATTTAAAAGTTTTAGAGCAGGAATGAAAGGAAGTAAAGTATACTTAGAAGAGGGCCAAGCAGGTGACTTGAGAGAGTCAAGTGCGTGGCTTGACCTTTGACTCGGGGTTTTGTAGATTGGCATGCTTCCGGGGAGTTGCATCTCTCTTCTCCCCTGAGTCCTCCCTTGGGGCGGGCTGTCTGCGTGCGCGGTGGCCTGTCAGCACCTGGGAGGGGCCGAATGCACAGTTGTGTTTACTGAAGTTATGCACACGCTCGTTTGAGGTGTTTTTCCCTTACCGGTGTTCCTAGAGGAAGGTCATCTACCAGTTTATCGCTGCCCTTTTGCCTTAGTGTGCATGCTTGAGCCCACTCGCCCAGCTCCTGAGATATCGGGAGGCTGATCACCAGCTTCAGGTGTTTCTATCTGTTGGGAGATTGCCTCTTCCTGGCACTGGCTGCGACCAATTATTTTAGAGAAGCAGTTTATCAACTGCCTGACCATCACCTGATGATCACTTGACGTTCCTGGTTGGAGGAGGGCCCTCTCCTGCCTTGCTCATGTCTGCCTGACTACCTACTGTCACAGTTCCTTGATGGAAGAGCCTGGTCCTGAACAGCTCCAGGCCAGCCTGGAAGCCCACAGAAAGCAGGTGTAGAGCAGCATCAGGGAGCAGTGGTCAGGGTGAACCTCTCCAAATACCGCTAAGGAGAGGAGTGGGCATACATGTTCTCTGACACATCGGGCAGCACCACTGAGCTCTGGCTCAACATGACCATGGCTTACCCCAGGAGTAGCACTTCCAGAGCAGTCTGTGTCCCCACCTGTGAGCCATCAGTCTCCTCTCTCCATAGGCACCAAGCACACAGCTGTCCCATCACCACCTCATTTGATGCTCCCAGCTATCCTGTGATCAGGTAAGGGAACACAGGCTGCACACCAAGGCTTCAGGTCCCATGGCTGAAGGCCCTTTTCCTGGGTGGGCAGCCCTGTCAGCCACCAGCAGGAGGCGCTGCCTGGAAGACGTGGCCAACCACCTGCTCCTTCACTGGAGGGTCTGGAGTAAGCTATTCCGTGTGGCAGCCATTGGCCACATGTGGCTATCCGGTACTTGAAATGTGGCTATCCGGTACTTGAAATGTGGCTAGTCCAATTGAGATGTGCTATGTGTAAGATACACACGAGATCTCATAGATTAATACAAAAAAAGAATGGAAAAAAAGGTCACTGGGCACAGTGGCTCACAACTGTAATCCCAGCACTTTGAGAGGTGGAGGCAATAGCTCTCTTGAGAACAGTAGCTCAAGACCAGCCTGGGCAACATAGGGAGACCCCCTTCTCTAAAAAAATGAAAAAAAAAAAAAACTGGCTCGACATGGTAGCATATGCCTGTGGTCTCAGCTACTCAGGAGGCTGAGGTGGAGGGATCACTTGAGCCTGGGAGTTTGAGGCTTCAGTGAGCAGTGATGGGACCACTGCACTCCAGCCTGGGTGACAGAGCCAGACCCTGTCCCAAAAAAAAAAAGTCATTGATCTATGGGTCACCTATTAAAATGATAATATTTTGAATATGTTGAGTTAAATAAAATACATTATTAAAATTAATTTTACCTGTTTTACTTTTTTAACATGGCTACTAGCAGATTTTAAATTACCTGTTTGGCTCACATTATGTTTCTATTGAATAGCACCAGTATGGACAATGACTATGGCCCCTAGAACAGGAGCATTAGCATTACCCAGGAGCTTCTAGAACGGCAAATTGTCAACCAAGACTGAGTCAAAAACTCTGAGAGACAGGACCCAGCAACCTGTGTTTTAAGCAGCCCTGTAGAACTTGATTCTTCTCAAGCTTGAAAACCACCAGTGTAGATGACACCATACGGGGAGTGGTTTCCCAGCAGGAATTGTTGGGAGAGATGCAGGCATAAGAGGTGGCTCTGAATTGACTGCCTTTACGTGGGTGGCCTGGCAGGGTGGAGGTGCAGTATCCCAGGGAAGGAGAAGGATCTGGCTCTGGGAGAATGGGCCTTGGTGCAAACCTGCCTCTAAAGTCCTGGGGACCACTTACATAATGCCCTAAGAATCTGTCCCTTCATCTGGAAAACAGGGGCAGTGATATTGAGGGTGTCTCATGGAGCTGTTGTCAAGATTAAATGAGCTGACACAGCTGACGTAGCTGGCGTGTAATAAGTGCTCAGTAAAAGCTAGTTCTCAGTGGGGGAGGAGGGGAGAGGGGACAGATGCCGCACAAGAAGACTTGGGTTCTACATGTTAGGCTGAAAGAGCTCTTTCTCCTGCTATTGTGTTTCTTCCCAGGTCATTCTGATGCTGGTCCTTCACGTGGCATGCCCCTCCTCACTCTGTTGTAGACAGTTGGCTACTGCCAGCATGGATGCCACCAGCCTTGGATTGAGCTTTCTGTCCAGGAAGCAACCTGGAGTGTACGTGCCACGCACGTCTGCAATGCTACCTCATTTTTCATCCAATAATCCTTCTGGTGACCTCTGTTTTGCAATGAGACTCAGGCACAGAGCCAGGACTGGAACCCGGTTTCCAGCTTCCTTGAACCTCCCAAACATGTCTAAGGTATAAACATGGGGACCCTTGGCTCAGTCTAGGGCCTGGGGTGTTGTAACCTCTGGCTGATGCCTTGAACACAGTCCTGGACACTGGGCCACCCCTGCAGCATTGACCCTGAAGCTCCAGAATTAAGCTGTGTGGCACTGGGCAGGGCAGCCCCTCTCTGGGAATCTGACCCTGGCTATTGACTAGAGGTTGGATTAGAGGGGGTAAGGGTGAAGGCTGTGCCCAGACCAGCCCCATCCCCAGAGGCCCTAGAGGACTTTAAGGCAAGATCGGAGTCCCTGGGGACAGAGTCACTTCTGAATGTTCCCTCAGTGGCCAGCTGTAGGTGGTGGAGTGAAAGAAGCACTGGACAGGGAGCCAGCTCTGCCCTTCTCTGAACTTGTGTCCCAGTGGGGTGGGGGTGACTTTCAATGCCCAGCAGGAAGGCCCACAGCAGGGTCCCAGAGCTGGACTGCCTGGGCTCAAATTCAAATTTTGGCTGTGTGATATTTGGTAAGTGACAAATGCCCTGGGACTCGGCTTCCATGTGAGTAAACGTGCATTAATATGAGGATTACACGAGTGAATGGTATGTTAAACTTTCAGAGCAGTGCGTGGCATGCAGTAAGCGCTCAGCAGAGGTCAGCTGTTGTAGAAAGTAAAAGTTCCTCTTCCAAGTTTCCCTTCTTGTTAAAGAATAAATCATAAGCATTAGAAATAATAGTTTCTAAGAACAGAAAACCAAACGCCACATGTCCTCACTCATAGGTGGAAATTGAACAATAAGAACACTTGGACACAGGAAGGGGAACATCACACACCCAGGCCTGTTTTTAGGTGGGGGGATGGGAGAGGGATAGCATTAGGAGATATATCTAATGTAAATGACGAGTTAATGGGTGCAGCACACCAATATGGCATATGTATACATATGTAACAAACCTGCACGTTGTGCACATGTACTCTAGAACTTAAAGTATAATAAAAAAGAAAAAATAATAATAGTTTAAAGACGAACTTCCTTCAAGCCTCCTTGCTTTATGCTAATAACTCTTTGTTAAGCCCTATCCTATGTAACTGTTAGACATGCTCACAGGCACATAGTACGTTCTACATCCTTGTATTTTAACCAAAATATCTGTGATAGACATGCTTGCAGGCATGTCCTAGCTCGCACCCTAGGCCCCTTCCTTATTTGGGAATATTATTACTTTTCTAAGTCCTTTCTTAAGCAACTTCCTCTTTTCCTTTATCCTTCCATTACTTTTACCTATTTAGAAAAGTTTTAAACAGCCAATCGGGTTTTAGTTTAGATTGTGCGGTCTGGCTCAAGCCAATGGACACAGGACACAGTAGCAGGGACAAACTGCGTAAGGGCTAAACATTGCTTCCCTCCTTTGTTCAGGTGTGCTTTTGCCATTGTTCCATCTGTGATGAGCACTCTTTCTGCAGAAAGTAAAATTGCCTTGTTGAGAGAATTAAATTTATGTTCTAGTGCTATTTCTTTCCAGCACTGGGGAACAAGTATTTACGTATAACAGCTGTCCACTCTTATTACTACTTAGGGCAGGAGTCCCCAAACCCTGGGCCAAGGACCAGTACTGATGGGCAGCCTATTAGGAACCAGGCCACACAGCAGGTGGTGAGCGGCAGTGGGGGAGGGTAGTGTGGGGAGCGAGCATTCCCACCTGAGCTCTGCCTCCTGTCAGATCAGCAGCAGCATTAGATCCGCATAGGAACATGAACCCTACTGTGAACTGTGCATGCGAGGGATCTAGGCTGTGGACTCCTTATGAGAATCTAATGCCTGATGATCTGAGGTGGGACATTTGGTCCCAAAACCATCCCCCCAACCCCCATCCATGGAAAAATTGTCTTACATGAAACCTGTCCCTGATGCCAAAAAGGTTGGGGACCACTGACCTGGGGACCATGGAGTCAGTCCCCAGGAGTCAGGCGACAGCCTAGCCCAGGCCTAGTTTGGGGCCTGAGAGGTGATGAGTTGGAGGTTGGGGAGGGAGCACACCTGGACTGGAGGACTCACGGCCAAAGCCCAAACTGCCCAGAGAAGTATTGGAGGGCCTGAGGCCATACCCAGAGCTCCCTTTGCCAACCCTCCTAATCCATCTCTGAGCAAAACAGCTTCTGGAGCCAGGCGAGCAGGGCCCTGGTTTGGCCACATTCTTGAGGGCCTCAAGGCTTGCTGCACCTTCCCTGGCCTCCAGTCTCAGCGTGGCTTCATCTGGCAACAGGCCTGGGACACTCAGCCTCCCTGAACTCGCTTCCCCATCTGCACAGTGAGGAATTCAGCCGGGATGGCCACTAATGGCCTGCTATCTCCTAACACCCCTGCATCAGAGTTCAGAACTCCCTTGCATCCCGGGAAGACGCTCACTCAACCACCCCTAGGCTGCTGGAGGCCTGAGAGGAGCAGGAGGCCAACAGCAGGGCCACATGCCAGGCAAGAGGAGCCCCCAGGTATCCCCAACAGCTGCTTCCCAGCCAGGCTGGCACCCCCACACCAGGCAGGAGCCCCAGCACACCCCTCTCTGCAGGCATAGTGGAGATGGGGCAGTGGTCAGGGTGCGGGAGCTCTAGACTAAGCTGCTGTATTCAAACTTGGCTTCTCCCTTCCCTGGCTTGGTGCCCTAACTAAGATATCTAACTGCTGTGTGCCTCAGTTTCCCCTTCTGTAAAGCACTGAGTATGAGGAGTACAAGACAGTGACCCTAAAGCTTTCTGCTGCAGCCCAGGATCCTATACTAGCAGCTAGGAGACCCTGCCAGACTCGTGCCTGACCCATGTGCCTGCCCGGCCACCCCTGGTGCCAGTTCCCAGAACTTGGCACAGCATCACTACCTCCCCAAAGCCTTCCCCGCCGGCTGGGTTTGGGTGCCCCACCCAGACCTCTTCCAACCCCCGACATGGGCCACGTCCTGTCCTCACTGCCTGCTGACTCATCAGCTTACCCACCCCCACCCATGCTCCTGTCCGAGGCTGAGCATAGTCACACTTAGTACCCCTCTGCGGCCTGGCACAGAGCCAGGGCCGAGCATCCCTGGAGCAAAGGAGCTTCCACCTGTGATGCAGGTGGGAGGCGGCAGGCCTCACCCTTTCTCCCGGTTCCCACCCTGGCTCCCACGCAGGCGCAGGTCAGAGAGGAGGCAGGAGAGTGGTGTGGAAACAGCCACATGGTTGGCATAGCCCTGGGTGAAAAAGTGTCAGTAGTCTCACGGAACCCCCAGCCTGGTCAGCCCCGAGGTAGCGCTGGAGGAATCAGGTCTCCTGGGTTTACACTGAGCAGGGACGGGGATGGAAAGGACAGAGGTGGCCCCAGAGCCCAAACACAGCTTTGAAAGTAGTGGAGGCCCACCCACTCACTGGAGGGTCAGGGTGAAAGCTCTGCCCAGCTAGTGTGGGTGGCTCCTGCCCCGAGAGCAAGAGAGAATCAGGCCTCGGGGTTGGAGGAGGCTGGCGCCATCCCAGGAGCACCCGCAAGGGCTGGGTATGCTGCTGAGTGGCTTCTCCAGCACACGGCCTTGGAGGTCATCCAGTCCTCCCAGCCACCCTCCCTGAGCGGGTGCTGGCTCCTCCACGCAGCCTGCCCCTCCAGTGGGGCCCCAGGCCTCCAGAAGGCTTTCCCTTCCCCACTGGGTGCCTTCCGGTTCTCTCCAGCAGCTCTGACTGCGGGGGTTAAGGGGCGGGGGCAGGCACCAGGCCGTGCTCTCTGGGCCACATTCCTCAGGCCACCCTCCGGATGTTCTGGCACCTTCCATACCAGCTGTGGGCAGGACAAGCCTGGTTTCCTCCACCGCCCTCAGTCTGCCAGCTGTGCTTCTGTTAGCAAAGCCAGGGGCCATGTCCATCCTCGAAGCCTGGCTGCCCTTCCTCCTCAGGGTCCCATAGCAGGCTGTGTTCCTGCTGGTGTCTGGAATGCTTGGAGGTAAGAAAGGAATTCCTCCGGCCCAGGATGGACCATGCACACCCAGAGCCCACACCCCCGCCAACACACACTCCTGCCTTGGGTCTGCGGAGGACACACATGCACTGCAGCGCCTCACACAGGTGCCCAGGACAGCACACACCCGCACCCCCTTCACCCTAGAAAGCGTGTGCACCCGCTGCGGGCACACAGGGCGGAGCGGCCGCTGCCAGGCTTCCCCGCTGGCGGGATGGCCTGGGGGCAGCGGCGTGTTGCCTACAGGTCGGGGTTCTGGTGGCTGCACACGACGCCCGCATCCTCGTCGTGCTCACAGTTATGGGTGCCCACGCCGTTGTGCTGGCACTCCAGCAGGTTGCGCTCCCAGCCCGCGCAACGCACATTGTCCAGCAGAATGGGCAGCGAGCCGCCCTGGCCGAACTCGGCGCTCTTGACAGCGCGCACGGCGTAGGCAAACCCCAGCTGGCGACACACGACGGCGGCGCCGTTGATGTTCCAGGAGTCGTCGCACACGGTGCCCCAGCGTCCGCCCACGAACACCTCCACGCGCCCGCTGCCGGAGCTCAGGCCCGCGGGCCGTACCAGGCGCACGTCACCATCCCGGAACGCCCGGTTAGCCGAGTTCGGCCGCCCCCGCCGGCGCCCGCCGCCCCTCCGGCTCCCTGGCTGCTGGGTGGGCCGCGCTGGCCGCGGTGGATCTTTTTCTGTTTTTGTGATATGGGTGCTAGGAGCTGATCTTGGGGGTTGCTGGCCTGTGTTTGACGCCCGCGTGGGCAGCCCGCGCTGTGGCCGCGCGGTGATCCGTGTCTCGGATTGATTATTTTTTGTCAGAGGAGAGTATTGCTCATCTTAGCGGGATTCCAGGAGCCCGTTGTCAGCTCTGTTGTTTTTCTTTTTTTTTTTGGCTGCTACACCTGTTGCGAGAGGGGCGGACTCAGGGAAGTGATTGTCCTGTCTCTTGACTTAACCCAGAAGAATGGGATGCCGCCTGTGCTCCCCAGTGTGTTGTTTTTCTTCCCAGGTCACCCTGGGACCCAGCAGAATGCCAGCCTGGACTCAGCGCCCAGGGGATTTTAAAGTCATTGGCGCAAACATTGTAACTGCCTTTGTGCCAGTCCTGCTGTTTGCTGTGTGTCCCCCCAAGCCTGGCTTCTAGGAGTCCCCAGGTTGGGCGGGGGAGCCGCCCCTGGGCACTGTCAAACTCAACGGAGGCAATGGAAAGGAAGGAGTTGTCTGGGAAGTCATTCTAGGCCAAAAGTCACCGTTTCTTCTCCAGGCCATTAGGCTTGTGAGGGTGAAGAAGCTGAGCCCAAGATGGGTAAAAAAATGCTGCAGGGTCATATGGTGGCCAGTGGCCAGAGGCACTGGAAATGGGACGCACAAAGGGATCCCTGGAGGGTCAGGGTAATCTTCCCTCCTCCGCTCACAAGCGGTTGTGGCACCTGTCAACACAACCAGCGGGTATATGGGGGTGCCTCTGGGTTGTCTGGGCTGGGGAACCAGGCAGACCCCTATACCCCACCACAGAGCCTGCGTTGCAGTCAGTGCTAGGGAGCTGAAGCACGGTGAATTCCCTTGTCCCTGCAGAAATGTGGGACCGCTTGGCCCCAGGTCACCACAGGAATAGACCCCATCAATCTTCCACTCTTTGCTGTGCCACGCCCTACTCCACATCGGTGCAGTTGCCAGGCACTGTGGCCTGCCATGTGTGACAGCCCAGCTGTTCAGTTACCATGGGGAGGGGTCCTGGGACCCCCGGGCAGACCTCTTTAATCCGGCCCCACCTCAGGCCAGTCCACTTTGGAAAACCACTGAGAGGAGCATGAGAAAGGGCTTCTCAGCACAGCCAAGCAACAGGCCAGGGCCGTGGAGCACCGTGACATGGGCAAAAGGTGGCTCCCTGTCCCTGCACCCTGGCCCCTGGGCCCACACTCCTCCTGCCCTCAGGCTGCCCTACCTCCCACACTCGTGGCTCCTTGCTGTTTGCCTCTGCCCTGGCACTGCCACGCCCCGTCAGGCTGCATCCCTGAGGTGAACCTCCCTTTGTGCCAACCCCTCCAGGTGCACTCCCCAGGTGCACCCCCCCGTTGCAAACCCCCTCCTGGGTGCATCCCCACCCTGCGCACCCCCCTCGTGCCATCCCTAGGGCCACCCCCTCAGTGATCCCCCATGGGCACGCCTTCTATTCTTTTCAGACTCCAGGAACCGCGTACCACCCCCCAGTTCTCACTGTTTCTGGGTGTTTCCTCACCTACCTGGCACGACACTTCAATACAAGGCCTGGGCAGTTAAATGACATCTCTGTCTGTCCCACCAGAACATCGGCCTGGTCTGACTTCTTCACTGTGCGCTGCCGGGCATCCAGTCGTGGAGCCAGGTAACTAACAAAAGTGCCAGAAACTGCTTGAATGAATAAATGGGAAAACTCACAAGCCCTGAAACCAACTGCGACAAACTCACTTCCAAAATCACTGAGCTCAGACCCTTCCCCTTTCTACCCGGGTACCTCTTCTGCCCAGGGTGCCTAGCCTCCCCTCCTCCTTGCCCTCCCACCCCCACACACACCCAGTCTGCCAATGGGTGGCCTGCTGAGCCCACTTGGCCTGCTGAAATATTTTCCTTGGCCCACAGAGTGATTTTTAAAATTCTGAACTAGTTGCTAACACTTTGAATTGGGAGGTTGTACCTAACAGGCTTAGAAGGCGAGGACTGCAGTGTCTCACCATGTGCTGTATCCCCAGGGCAGGGCACGTGTCCGTGGTGAATGAGTGGATGGGGGGATTTTCTGCTTCTCTGAAGAACTGGAAGACCTGGCAACATGGGGTCTTTGTTCCCACGTAACTTGGCCAGGGGAACAGCCCCAACTTGGGGCATCCCCTTCCCCCTAGCCCCAGACCCCATGGGCAGTCATTTGTGGTGGCCCTGCTCTGCCATCTCTCCTCATCAGGCTTGTCAATAATCTATGAAGGCCCGGCCCACATGCCAACCCCTCCCACAAATAACTCTTCCAGTCTCCCTCGCTTACACACAGATACATCCTCTTTCTCTGTCCCTCCCAAGAACTCAGAGCATACCTTGCCTGGCACTAGCTATTTCTCTCTTGGTTTAAGGAATTGTGACCAATCAAGCAAGACCCAGTTCAGTAAAAGTCCCATCCACCTTACCACCATGTCTAATGTGTGCCAGGCACAGTGCTAGGCACAGGGGCTGAAGAGGGACATCTAGGTCCAGCTGGTAAGACCCGCGTCTGGCTGGAAAGGCAGCCGTTGTGGGCTGCAGGATCTCTCCCCCCACCCTCAGTGTCCCTCCGGCAGGCACTTACTTTCTTTGGGCACAAAGGGGATGAGGCGGCTTCTGATCTTCACCTGAGCAGGCTGGATCTGACACTTGCCAGGTGGTGCCCGCCTGCCAATGACACACAGGAGGTTATCAGTCTCACCCTGGGAACCCATCCTGAGGATGCCCCGTGCCATTGCCTTTCCCCTGCAGTGAGGCAGGCGTGAACAGCAACGATAGTAACAGGCGGCCATTTACCATGCACCTACTGTGTGGCCTGTGGCATCCCTGCCCACTCCATGCCCCCAGGATCCTAGGAGCTCCAGGGCATAAATCCCCTATAACAGCCCACTGGCTGCATGCTCAGCCTCTGCCAGAATAGCACTGGGGCTGGAGGCTTACCATTTCCCAAGACACTTCTAATCCAGAGCATGGACTCTGTCCTCAGGGTGTGAACAAATGCCAGTCTCTGTCCTCCCCCAGCCTGCCATCAGATTCCTGAAATGCAGCCTGATTCCTGCCCGCCACCCTCTCCCACCAGCTCCGCAGCCTTTGAGGCGGGTCTCTCTCAGACCCTCTGGTTCCTGGATTTCTGATGATGCAGAATCTGGGAGATTCCTCTGCCTGGAACCATCTAAAGGACGGGGCAGGGGTGAGGAAAGCAAGCCTTGGGCCTGGAGGCAGAGCTGAGGGATTTGGGGCCTTGGCACGTGGGGTTTGAGAGAGCAGGGAGACAAAAGAGTCAGAGGAGAGTGCCAGGGCTAGGAATTGGGTCTCCTTTGACATTTTTGAGGGCACAGTAGGAAATGGAATTCCGTTTTAATTAGTTTTTGGCCGTCGATCTGTGATTCTTTGGGAATGACCCCATTCCAGGACGGATCCACGTGGGCCCACGACTTCAATAGGATTCCAGTGGAAAGGCCAAGGGGTGAATTAGCCACGTGACACGGAGTGGCCTCCAGACAGGCTTGGCCGAAGAGGGACACAAAAGAGGGACAAGGGTCTTTGTCCCCAGAGGCTGCAGAAACACAACCAGGCACACACGCTTCTCAAAGCTGCAGGAAAAGCGAGGTTTTTTCTTGCTCTGACCTCCAGAGAACATCCACATACTTTAGACAGACCCAGTGGGGCTTTTGTTCCTTAAGGAAATTGCATTAAAAGTCTTTGTTATGCAAAAGGGTAGGATGTCCACCCCAAAACGCCACAGTGGTTATGTGTGGGTAATAATAGATGACCTGACCCTACCTCCTCCACTCCCCATTTATTTCATTTTCCAAATGTTCTATAATGGGACCTCTGTGTAATACGTGTGGATGCAAAGAAACAGTTATTCCGAGCCAGGAGAATGAAGGGAGGAGAAGGGTCAGGGCAGGAGGGAGGAATCTCGCCCACTTCTGGCTCCTAACACAAGACTGCGAGCAAGAGAACTCCCTAAGTCTTGCTGGGTCCCTCCGTATGACATGGGGACAACAAGGCAATAGGGAAACGGTGTTGGAAAAACCAAAGATGATGGATCTAAGGCAACATCTGGCATGAATTAGGCACTCGTTTGGTATATGTAACATTTCCTCAGAGAAGCATTCTTTTCTGAAAATTGGCAATAACTAAAATTCCGAGGAATAAGTTATAGTGACTCAGCAGAAAATCACACAGCCATTAGAAATGGTTTTTTTTGAGGGTGATGTTTGCAACATTTAGACAAAATGGGCATACATGAAGGAAAAAGAACCAAGTCTGCGTGTGATCCAAATACCACCATATAAATCCTGGCACTGCATAGATAACGATGGTCAGGACCTCATGGAAATGAGAAGGAAGGGATGGAAGGAGGAAGTGATTATGTTTTATTTGATAAAAAGTCATGTCAATAATTTACGTGTGCTTTTAAAACAAACAAGCAAAAAAAAAAGTCTGTGAACAAGGAAAGTGAGAAGCTGCCACAAACAGGGCAAGCTAAGGAGATGCAACCACTAAAGGTAACATGGGATCCTGGGACAGGAAAAGGGCATTGGAGAACAACTAGAAACATCCTTTGAAAAAGAGTGTGGAGTCCAGGTGTGGGAGCTCACACCGGTAATCCCAGCACTTTGGGAGGCTGAGGTGGGCCGATCACTTGAGGTCAGGAGTTCAAGGCCAGCCTGGCCAACATGGCGAAACCCCAGCTCTACTAAAAATACAAAAATTAGCCAGGTGTGGTGGCAGGCATCTGTAGTCCCAGCTACTTGGGAGGCTGAGGCAGGAGAATCACTTGAACCCGGGAGGCGGAGGTTGCAATATGCTGGGATTACAGGTGTGAGACACTGAGCCCAGTGCAAAATATTTTAAGCACAATAAGTATTTTAGAATTTTTCTTTTTGTAAAAGTAATTAATATTTTTAGAGACAAGGTCTCCCTCTGTTGCCCAGGCTGGACTTGAGCTCCTCCCATCTGCCTCCCAAGAACATGAAACACGCCAGCTTGTTTCAGGATTTCCCAAACGTGGCGTGTCTCAAAGTTCAGGATAAGTAAACACAATGGGGACTCCTAAGGTCTGCCAAATATGTGGATTCTTGGAGTGCAACCTCAGGCCTTGTGTTAGAGATAAGCACAAGCCATGTCCGCACCGGGTGTTGAAGGGACGTTCGGACTCCTATGGAAACCAGCAGAGAAGCGAAAATCTAAGGGCTGAGAAGCAGCTTAGAAAGCTGATCACTCATTTATTCATTAAGCATTCCTGGGTCCCTGCTCCATGCCATTTGCAGTGTCTGGGCGGCCTCTGCAAAGTGAAGAGATACAGGCTTGGCCCTGAGACTCCCAGAGCAGCTGGGAGATAGTCAGTCGTGTAGCCCAGAGACTACAAGTCTGAGTGAGGAGAGCTGAGGAAGGGCTGGACAGGGGCCTGGAGGGCAAAGTGGGTTGGGGAAGGTACTTGAAAAGGGTGAGGTTAAGGCACACAGCCGAGGGGTTAGGGCAGGACTCTGGAGCCAGCGGCCTGGGCCCAACCATGGCTCTGGACCCCGGGCCCGTGACTTTGTATCTTTGTGCTCATTTCCACCACTGTAAAATGAGCAGCTGAGAGTTTCATAAGCTGCACACGGAAGGAGTTGGGACATGGCCTGGCATGGCACTTCTGGCCTTACAGCTAGAAGGGAAGCCGGGGAGATGGAGCCGGCGAAGGGAACCCCAGTGTATTTTCCCCAGTGGAAGACAGACAACAGGAGGATAGACAGGCATGGGGCGGGGACACACAGGGATCAGGGTGTCATCTGGGAGGCATCGCAGAGGCAAATTGGGGGCTGGGTTGTGGGAATGCAGGGGCAGCCCAGGAAGTGAGGGATGAGGGGCCTGCTAGACAGGAGGAAGACGCAGGGAGGGCAGGCCAGGCAAGAAAGCCGAGTGAAGCCTCCGCCCTCGGCCCCAGTCGCCTCTCCAGCTCCCTCCTATCCTAACAGACCTGTGCTTTGAGGCGTGCAGACCCGGGTCTGAATCCTGGGTCTGCCCCTTGCCGGAGGAACTGAGGCGAATCACGTCCCTCTCTGGGCCTCAGGGTTCTTGTCTGAAAATGGGGATTAATACTGCCCACCTGAGGGCAAGGTGGAGGGGACAAGCCAATGGAGCTAGGAGGCCTGACAGACAGCAGGAGCTCCCTGTCCTGGAGGCCGGGACTCACCTGGACGGGTCAATTATTTTGTAGACAACCCCACGTGGAGCAGTGGCACTCGGCTCCCCTGTCGACATGAAGTACAGCTCCCCTTTGAACAGAACGAAGTGACCAGTGAGACCCCCACCTGGAATACTGTCCCAGCCAGCCCCGCCTCACTACCCCGCTCCCCGCAGGCTTGGAAATCGACCCCAACCCCAGCTAGCCATCATGTGAGGCATCCCAGCTCAGTCTAGCTGTCCAGTCCCCAGAAAGGGAAACTGAGGCTAGGTGAGGCGTTGGGTTGTGCCCAAGGGCCTCTGGAGCCTGGTCTCCCGGGTGTCAGGTGCTCTGCCTGGACCCAGCCAGGCTCAGACCTCCACTCTTGCCTTTTCCCGGTGACCCAGCACCACCCCTGTCACCTACCTGGGTTTCATGCCCAGACCCACACATCTCTGGGCACACACGAGGGGGCTACAGCCCAACTCCCCAACTGACTGCTTCTGGGGGACCCGAAGGCAAGTGTGGCTCTCTGAGCCTCAGCTTCCTCATCTCTAAAATGGGCAGGCCTCACTGGGCTGTTATAAGGATTGAAGAGTGCAGAGCGTGGGCCTAATCAGCATTAGCTAGCTATGATTGCGGTCGTCATCTGGGATTTGGGCCCTGCCAGGTCCTCGAGGCCAGGGTGTCTCTCTACTGACAGCGAGGACCTCCCAGGCAGGAGCAGAGTACATGGCTGGGAGTGTAGGTCCTAGCCCCTCTGCTTGGCCCCCTGTGATCTCCAGCAGCTGTGTGATGGCCCCATTCTGAGCCTCAACTTCTCCCCGTCTCAGAGCTGCGCTGAAAATGTAACCGTTAGAGTTCTGAGTCCCTGGCGCTGAGGACTGTCTCAGGGAATGTAGGTTCTCCCTGCTCCTCCCACTCCAATCCTCCCTCCCAACCCCTGCTGCCAGGGGTATCTATGTCCTGAAAACAGGCTGCATTATTCCTACATCACAGCTGAGGAAAAAAAAAAAAAAAGAGGCTCAGAGAAGTCAAGTGACTTGTCCTAAGTCACACAGCTAGTGAATGGTTAAGCCAGGACCAGAACTCAGGAAAGTCTGCTGCTCCAGCCCCACACCAATATCGGATGCGTGGTGGCTGGGAGCCCAGACACGAGCCACACATGACTCATCCTGAGGGTTCAGCCATGCTAATACCTCTGTCCTTGTAAAAGGATAGCAAAGAGCACAGCTGGGCTGGGAGTAGGGAGGGAGGTTTCCCCGCAGAGAGGCTGAGACAGACAGCTTGGTAACAGGTTGGAGAAAAGCATATCCCTGGGGACAGGTGCAGTCAGGGAGGGCTGCATGGGGGTGGGGTCTGAGAAGCAAGGCACAGGAAACTCGGGAAATGCAAAGGGAAGGCACTTGAGGGTTAACTTGTGACACCTGGGTAGACCCAGCTGTGATGGGGCTGGGGGATGAGGCAAGCAGTACACTGAGTGGTCAAAGGCCCCAACCCCCAAACCCAGGGGCACCAGCCCCACTGGGGAGGTCGGGAGAGGGGCTGTAGGCCCACATGGTGATGATGCAGCCTTTAGCAGTGGGAGTCCCCGGGTGAGACGTCCCTGTTGGGAAGTCCATGGCCACAGCCCTAAATTGCTCAGACAGCCTTGGGCGGTCCACTTACCTCTGGGCCTCTTTCTGGAGTGAGCCACCAGGAGCAGCCCTGGTCTCCTCTGTTCCAACCCCCTGAGGAACTCCCTGGTTCATCTTGCCAACCAACCTTAAGGCCCCCCTCTGGGAGGTGTCCAGGGGCCAGGTGGGGCATGGTGCCCCTCCTCCATAACCAGGCGTTCATAGTCAGCCACAGTTTCCCCATTGGTAAAATGACAAGGCTGGACCACGCAGACTGCAAGACCCTTTCCAGCTATGATCTGCTGGGAGCTGTAGCCCCCAACCCTCTGCACACACAGGGAGCCCCCGCGGGTGCTGCCAAGCCCGCCCAGGGCTGCTGTTGAGACTCAGAAAACAATGCTTCAAAATGAAGGCCTCAGAACTGCCTCCAAAGCAAAAGTTTTTCTCTGACCTTCTCCTGTCCTCCTGTCTCTCAGTCCTGTTCTCCCCTGAGGTGCCACAAAAACTAGAGTCTCTCTTTCCCACGGCAGATAATAGAAACCAGCACACATTTCCCCCAAAGCCAGTCATAGAACCTAAAAATATTATTGTAACTCTCCCCGAACCTTTCTGTATAAAACTGGCCATAAAGAAATTATCTGAGACCAGGCATGGTGGCTCACGCCTGTAATCCCAGCACTTTGGAAGGCCAAGGCGTGCAGATCACTTGAGGTCAGCAGTTCAAGAACAGCCTGGCCAACATGGCCCGAAACCCCATCTCTACTAAAAATATGAAAATTAGCCAGGCATGGTGGTGCACACCTGTAGTCCTAGCTACTCAGGAGGCTGAGGTATGAGAATCGCTTGAACCTGGGAGGCAGAGGCTGCAGTGAACCAAGATCACACCACTGCACTCCAGCCTGGGCGATAGATCGAGACCCTGTCTCAAAAACAAACAAACAAACAAACAAAACCCCCACAACAACAACAGCAACAACAAAGAAATTATCTGGGTCAGATATGGTGGCTCATGCCTGTAATCCCAGCACTTTGAGGCCGAGGCAGGGGATCACTTGAGCCCAGGAGTTCCACATCTGCCTAGTCAACACAGCAAGACCCCATCTCTACAGACTATTTAAAAAAGAGCCAGGCATAGTTACATGAGCCTGTAGTGCCAGCTACTTGGGAGGCTGAGGCAGAAGGATTGCCCAGGAGTTTGAGGCTGCAGTGAGCCATGATGGCGCCACCGCATTCCTGCCTGGATGACAGAGCAAGACTCTGCCTCTAAAATAAAGGAGGAGGAGATGATCTGACCTGTTTGACCCATTTGCAGGTCATCAGACTCCCACTCCAGAGAGAGCCCCATAGCCAGAAGGAAGGAATGCAAGCGCAGAGAGGCCAAGAAGAATCCAGACACACAGGCTGTGCTGGCTCTCCCACTCAATCAGCATGAGCTCAGGCCCTTTTTGTCCGATCACATTTCTACACAGCTGCCCATACTTTGTTACACCTGAGCATAAAAATGGACAATTTCTCGGCTGGGTGTGGTGGCTCACACCCGTAATCCCAGCACTTTGGGGTCACCTGAGGTCAGAAATTCGAGACCAGGCTAGCCAACATGGTGAAACTCCGTCTCTACTAAAAAAATACAAAAATTAGCCAGGTGTGGTGGTGCGCGCCAGTAATCCCAGCTACTCGGGAGGCTGAGGTATGAGAATCGCTTGAACCTGGGAGGTGGAGGCTGCAGGTTGCAGTGAGCCGAGATTGCACCACTTCACTCCAGCCTGGGCAACAAGAGCGAAGCTCTGTCTTGGAGGAGGGGGGAAGTTCCATGAACTTTCAGAGGGCAAAGGTGACGTTTTCCCTTGGTGGGACACTGAGCCACCTTCCTGGTCTCTGGGGTGTGAACTGTCCCTGGGGCACACTGGGCCAGCAGAGGTACTCATTTTGTAATCTGCAAGTGTTGGAACAATTAGAGAAGCAGCAGCAGGAGCCGGGAGCAGGGGAAAGTTGGTTTGCGTTGGACCCCAGGGCTCTGGGCTCCGTGCCGTCCAGAGGCTGCTGCCAGAACTGTCCCTGGGCCGCCAGTCTCACCGGTGCCTCCTTCTGGTTTTCCACACTCGGGTGTCAGTCAGAGGGCTGAGGAATGGCCTTTTGGAAACTGTACCTTCCTTCCAGGCCCTGCCTCAGTGGGGGAGGGGCACCCCTGCTTCTAAAACACATTAACCCCCTACTGACCAAAAGAAAGGGCTTTCAAGGGCCCAGAGGGCTTAGGAATGGCTGTGGGGGCTGGGGGCTGCCTTTTTGGAAATTCAGATTCTGACAGTTCAACAAAGGTTTCCCAGACTCAGCCCTCGGGGCTCTGGGCACTGAGCCGGGCAGGGGACACCCCTCCAAAGGCCCCTGGGCGGGCGTTGCCTAGCAACCCCAATAAGCATCCATTAGGGCTCACTGGGGGCCCCTGGGCTTTTGTCCAGGAACAATCCTCGGGCGAAGCACAAAGGCAGGAGGCTGGAGCAGGATCCAGTCTCCACTGGCCCCTCTTCCTCTCCCCTCCCACTCTGTCCCTCGTGTTGAAAACACAAGTGCCTAGATTCAGGATCCACTAACCGACAAGAAGGCTGTGCCACCGGCTTTGAAATAATTATGTGGCTTCATTTAATGGCCCAAATCCATTTGCCATCAGGAACTCCAGGCCAGGGGAGGTCTCTGGGGTTCTCTGGAGGTCTCTGGAGGTCTCTGGAGGTCTCTGAGGCTCTCTTCCACCACCTGCCTGCATTTCCACCATTCCAGATCCTTCCTGGCCGGCTAATCGGCATGGATGCTTACCCGCGTTATTAGTCTAGAACTCACGGCAACCTTACCCAGGGTGAGGTGGGGTAAGAGGAAGAAAGGGGCCACTACTTCCATTTTCCATAGGAACAAAGGGGAGCTTAGAGAGGTGAAGACGCCCGAGGAGGTGTCAGAGGCATATGAACCAGAGCAACTCCATCTTAAATAAGAGCTGGGTAAAATAAGGCTGAAACCTACTGGGTTGCATTCCCAGACAGTTAAGGCATTCTGTCACAGGATGAGACAGGAGGTCGGCACAAAACACAGACCTTGCTGATAAAACAGTTTGCAGTAAAGAAGCCGGCTAAAACCCACCATGACCAAGACGGCCACAAGAGTGACCTCTGGTCGTCCTCACTGCTACACACCCATGGGCACCGTGACAGTTTACAAATGCCATGGCAACGTCAGGAAGTGACCCTATATGGTCTAAAAAGGGGAGGCATGAATCATCCACCCCTTGTTTAGCATATCATCAAGAAATAACCATAAAAGTTGGCAACCAGCAGCCCTTGGGGCTGCTCTGCCTATGGAGTAGCCATTCTTCTATTCCTTTACTTTCACTTTACTCTATGGACTTACCCCCAATTCCTTCTTATGTGAGATCCAAGAACCCTCTCTTGGGCTCTAGATCGGGACCCCTCTTCTATAACAGAGACACCTGCAAAGTCTGGAGCCCAGGGAACATCTTCCTCCCAGGTGGGAACTAGTTCAGGCCTGTGTGGTCCTTCCCCTACATCCGAGACCAGAAGGACCACAGGATGGAGGACCAGTCCCAGGCATGAGCAACCAGCAAGGAGAGGTCTCAGGAGTGCTCACCGGCCTCATCCTCCCCGAAGGAGATGATGTACGGGTAGTAGTTGTTGATGAGGCCTGGGAACTCACAGGTCTGGCCATGGCCCATGCAGATCTCACTGTAGTGCCACTGGCCTGTCCCTGGGTTCTCGTGGAGGGACATCAGACGCCTGCAATGGAAGATGAACTGTGAGGCCATGCCTGGCATGGCACCCAGGGGAACCTACCCACCCATCCATCCATCCATCCCACCCTCCCTCCTTCTCTCCCTCCTTCCCTCCATCCTTCCACCATCCATCTACTCATCCATTCACCCACTGATCCATGCAAGGACCATACAAAATTCACAGAGCCCAGTGCAGAATGAGCATGCAGGGCCACTTGTTCAAAACATATTAAGAATTCAAGATGGTGACCTCAGAGCATGAGATCAAGCGTGAACCTTTCTGAGCATGGGGCCCTGTGTGACTGCACATGTGGTACGTCCATGAAGCTGTCATTGTGTGCAACCTTCACCAAGCACCTACCAGAAACCCACAGGAATGAACAGGACCAGCTTGGTTACTGCCCCCTGAATGCAGTCCAGCCCACTGGATCCTGCAGAGGGAACAGCGCTTTCAAGAGTTCACCGGTTTCAGAACCTGCCAAGCGCTGGAGCTTCAACGTCTTTGGAATATGCTAACCTTGCTCCTTACTCCCATCGCTGATTGTCAATCACCTATTGATACTTCCAGGTCCTGCTTAGAGATGCCCCCTTCTCTGTGAAGCCCTCCCTGAAGGCCCCCATGCTGAGCTCCCTACACTGTGCACAGGCTCTCTGAGGTTGCAGTGCAGTGGACTGAAAGGGTCTGTCTCCCTGGCTCAGGTACTAGGGGTCCTCTTCATCTCTGTCATCCTGGTTCTTGCCTAACCCAGCAGAGGGGCTGGGGAAATACTGGCAAAATTAGTTCAATTTCTGCGGTCAGGAGACTTAGGCCCTCCTGGGAAGGATAGAAGGGAGAAAGGACAATCAGGGGTAAAAACAGAGGCTTCATCTACACCCATTTTCCAGATGAGAAAGCTGGGTCCCAGGTGAAGGGGTGGATCTGGGAGAGGAATCCAACTTCCAGGGGCCCAGGTCAGGTATCTCTCTCAGCTCCAGGCTGCAGACTGGACAAAAAGTCAGAATTCTCCCACCAGCTTCAGCCGTCTTCATGTCTTTACGCCCTCTCCGTAGGAACCCTATTCAGTTGCTGTCAGAGGAGGTTGCACGGAAATAATTAATACCAGGCTGGGCACCGTGCCCTGAGTCTGTAATCCCAGCACTTTGGGAGGCCGAGGCAGGAGGATCGCTTGAGTCCAGGAGTTCAAGATTAGCTTGGGCAATAGAGCAAAACCTCATCTCTACAAAAAATGCAAAAATTAGCCAGGCGTGGTGGCACATGCCTATAATCCCAACTACTCAGGAGGCTGAGGTGTGAGGATTGCTTGAGCCTGGGAAGTGGAGGCTGCAGTGGGCTGAGACTGTGCCACTTCATTCCAGCCTGGGCGACAAAATGAGACCCTGTCTCAAAAAAAAAAAAAAAAAAAATTCACTAAATATAAACTTCTTTCTTTCTTTTCTTCTTTCTTTTCTTTCTTTCTTTCTTTCTTTCTCTTTCTTTCTTTCTTTCTTTTTTCTTTCTTCCTTTTCTCTTTTTCGTTCTTTCTTTCATTCACTGATTCTAAGTCGCTTATTCTTATCGATTAAACCTGATTCAGTTCCTTAAAACGACAACCTAGGGGGCAGCACTATGATCATCTCCATTTTTGCAGAATGAGGTAGCTGAAGATAAGGAAAGGTGAAGTAACTGGCTTAAGGTCACCCAGCCAGTAAGAGAGCCAGGGTTCAGACCAGGCTGTCTCAGCCTGCCGTTGGGCCTCTTTAGTCCTCAGCTTTCTTCTCTGTACAATGGGACAACAAGGTGGTCATGAGGCTCCACAAGCACCCTTGGGGACAGAGCCTGACTCACAGGAGGGTGTGATGTAGGTTTCCCTCCCCCATCAAACCTATTTGGGATGTGGTTCATCCTCCTCCCACACCAGGGTCTCAGTGGGTGGCACTGCCGCCCTAGAGCACGGGGACAAGGCAGCAAGGCTCCAAGGCCACAAAAGCCCCACCTCCTCCTCTCCCCATTAGGAGGCCGGTGCGCAGCCATCCTCCTCTCGGGTCTTAGTTTCTCAACCTTTGCGAGATCCCTGCAGTCCTGGCTGGGGTGGGATGGGGTAGGGCTCCAGGCCCCTATAAGCTGTTGCAGTGACAAGCTGTGGCTTCCCCAGGAGCAAGGTGGCCCTGAGTGTCCAGGAAATTATTCATATTCTGCCCTCCTGCCCATTAGAACTGCTGTCAGGCCCAGAGCCCATGGTTCTCACCAGGGAGAGGAGGACCACCGGACCCGCACTTAAGCAAGCCTCCAGCCTTTCATGCCATGAGTTGTGTGTCTATCACAGAGTTACTGAGGCCTGCAACAAAGGCTCACGATACATCTCAGGAGAAAAGGGGGTGGATGTGGGTGTCCGGCCCACACCTGGGGGCCCCTGTCAGAGCAGCGAGGCGCATGTGCAGGAACAGGCGCACACATACACTCCTCTTTACCAAGGAGCCAGTCCCAAGGAGCCAGTGGCAGCAGCCAGCGGGGTGAGGGCACTAGGTCACTTACCCGGTCATGAAATCCCCAAAAATGTAGAGGCCGTTCAGATTGGGGTACTCGCAGCCCCGGTACACGTAGCCCCCTGTGACCGACTTGCCAATTGTGTGAGGGTAGGCGAAAATCGGCAGCACATCTTCTGCGGGGTGGGAGGGCGAGAAGCTGCGGTGAGCCCGCGGGGGACAGGTTCGTCTGTCAGGAGAATTCCGGAGGGATTCCGCGGGGGCGGGGCGACCACGGAGGGAGGGGCGTGCCCACAGCAGGACTGGCGTGGTGGAAAGCGTGTCTGCAGGGGTGCCAGATGGGGATGGGGCGAGGAGAAACTCAAGAGCGCTGCTGGGAGGCCTCCAAGGCACAGGGAGGCTCCTGGTGGAGGCGAGGGCAGTCACCGAGGGAGGCTTTGGCTCACAGCCCGTGGAGTTGGGGTGGGGGCAAATCTAGGGTCAGGGGGTGCCTGGGGTGCGGGTGGTCCCCGAGTGAGGCCCTGCCGCACAGCCCATAGAGTGGAGCCGGGGACAGATCCAGGGTCAGGGATCTCCCGGGCGCGGTCTCCGAGGGAGGCCCTGCGGCACAGCACGTGGAGTGGGGTGGGGTGGGGGCGGATCCGGGGCCAGGGTCCCTGGGGCGCGGGCACTCACTGAGGGAGGAGTTGGCGCACAGGCTGCGGTCGTAGCACTCGAACCCCTCGCGCGCGCGCCAGCCGTAATTGCCGCCGCGCTCCACCAGGTCCACCTCCTCGAACTTGTTCTGGCCCACGTCGCCGCAGAAGAGGCGCCCGCGGCCCGCGCCCGACGCGGGGTCGCCGCGGTCGAAGGAGCAGCGCCACATGTTGCGCACGCCCAGGGCATAGACCTCGGGCTGCGCGGCGGGGTCGCCCACGAACGGGTTGTCGGGCGGGATGCCATAGGGCAGGCCGCGCTCCTTACGGTCCACGTCGATGCGCAGCACCTTGCCCAGCAGCGCCGACCTGCGGGCGGAGTGGGAGAGGGCGTGGCTCGGGGTCGCCCTGCGCCAGGGCGCACGGGCTCCGCGGGGCAGGTGCCGGGGCGCCGGCTGACCGCTGAGCCAGGTACAGGGTGAGCCTAGGCTGTGGGATCAGAGACCCTGGGATGCAGTTCCTCCTTAGCTACTTACAGCCGGGTAACCTCATTCATTCACTCAACATGCATCTTCCACCTTCCTGCGCGCCAGGTCTGTCCCATGCGTTGGACACAATACATCATCTATTTCGTCTTGTCCTCACAGCAGTCGTTTAGGTAGGCGGCTCCTAGTATGATCCCCACTTTACAGATGTGGCAGCGGAGCTCAGAAAGGTCAAATAACGTTGCTCAGTTGCCGCACCACTGGGATCCAGCCCAGACGGCCTGAGCCCAGAAACTCAAGCTCTTTACCACACACTCTGTGGAATGTGGGTGTCCTCAACTGTAATAGTAGAGTGGTCCCGCTCAGTCCACTCAGTCCTCCTGGACTGCGGTATAGGGTGAAAATTCCACTAGAAAAATGACTTGTATTTACAGTTTTCTTCTGGTACCTGGCACTGTGACCAGCACATAGTAGATGACCATTAAGTGTTTGCAGAGTCAGTGAATGAAAGATTGCAATCAAAGCCAAGTGCACCAGAGTGCGGGTTGGTAGGGGAGGGGGAGAGAGCAGAGGGGTGCAGCCCTAAGCTCCAAGCAGCTTAGGGGGATAGCTCATGACAAAAGTGGCGCGTGATGGGAAAAATCTGTAATGTGCTTAAAGACAGTGCAGAGAACATACCCTTTTCATCTGTGGTTTTTGATGCACCGACTTAATGCATCAGTTTCCCTTGCTGTTAGCACTTTGGTGTCCTCCCTCTGGTTTGCTTTTCAAAGCGGGGTTTGAGAAGCTGTATTCCATCATCCTCACATAGCATTAGCACCCACACCTTTCCCTTATCAGTAGGGACAGCAAACAAGTGTCCTCTTTCATGGTGGTGACATGCTCCCACCCAATATATGCCTTGTGATCAAGCCCCTGTTGCTGGCCTTCCACTTTCCCCCGTAAATTCCTCTCGTACACTCCAGCCTGCTGAACACCATCCAGATCACACCCGGGAGCCCACGCACCACACACCAGGATTCGATATCTAAGTGGGCACAACTCGTAGCAGCAAAATAATGTTTTTAAGTTCTGTCCAATTATCCACTAATCCTTAATTTCTATTTTCTCAACTTCATCTCTAAACACATCCCAAACGTGAGAAAGCTCGGATGATGCTTACACTGTCACATAGGAAAGGACAACTCACAAATTGTGAGCACTTTAATTACTGTAATCAACATCATACTTGTACTTGCTATTTTTACTTTCTGGGCGGAGGAAGGTTTTGGCTAAGGGAATGGGGGAGGCTGACTTGAGACTCCTGGACATCCTGGTTACACTCACAAGACTGTGTGTGTGTATGTTGTGAATGTATGTATGTAGATGTGTGTATGTGTGTGTATGTATGTATGTATGTATGTATGTGTGTATAGGTGTGTGTGCGTGTGGATGTGTGTATATGTGTGTGTATTGTGTGTATGTAGTATGTGCATATGTGCATGTGTGTATGTGTGTGCATGCGTATGTGTGTATATGTGTGTGTTGTGTATATGTAGTGTGTGCATGTGTGTGTATGTATGTGTGTATATGTGTGTGTATGCATATTTGTGTATGTGTGTGTGTGAGTAAGTAATGGAATGAGATCTTGAGCTCATTTGCTCAAGCCAGGAAATGGGTAAAAGAGCAAGACTACACGTTAACATCTGGGTCTTCCTGAAGAACCTTGGGACAGGAGCTCCACGTGCTGGTGCCATCCTGCGCCAGCCAGCTCACACTTTCCATTCAGCCTGGGGAGCATCCCTTCCCTTCTTCCAGCAGGGCCCCAGCAGGGCCAGGCTGACCTTAGAGAAAATCCCATGTGCCCTGAGGCTCGCTAATGTCACCTCTCAGGCGCCTGTGCCCAGAGGGTCCTGTGCCTGGCCCTGGGCAGCCACGATTGCCTTTACTCCTTGTGACAAGCTGCCCGCAGAGTGGGCTTTTATCCCCTCTGTTGATGGCAAGTGACTTGCCTAGGCTGCCCAGCTAGATGCAGGCTGAGCTGGGACCCAGAACCTTTTCTCCTGCCCTACACTGCCTGGCTGAGGAAGGAACTCGCCCTCTGGAAGAGTATGAGAAGCCCAGGGTTATGTAGACCAACCCACTAGCCAACCAAAAGCTGAACATACTTGTTTTGGGCATTTCCGAAGGTCCCAAAGGGGTCTCCGGCCATCCCGCCATCTCCGGTGAAGATGTAGAGGTACCCGTCATCCCCGAACAGCAGCTGACCCCCGTTGTGGTTTGAAGCTGGTTCTTTGACCTCCAGGAGTATCCTAAAGGAAGATAAGGGCCCCTAAAACTCAGCCTTCCACGCATGAGCCAAAACACAAAACAAGATCACGGTCTCTTCACAATGGAAAAGACTTTTCTTTTCTTTCTTTCTTTCTTTTTTTTTTTTTTTTTTTTGAGACAGAGTCTTGCTCTGTTGCCCAGGCTGGAGCGCAGCTCGGCTCACTGCAACCTCCACCTCCCAGGTTCAAGCGATTCTCCAGGCTCAGCCTCCTGAGTAGCTGGGATCACAGGGGCCCGCCATCACGCCTGGCTAATTTTTGTGTTTTTAGTAGAGATGGGGCTTCACCATGTAGGCCAGGTTGGTCTCAACCTCCTGACCTCAAGTGATCTGCCCACCTCGGCCTCCCAAAGTGCTGGGATTACAGGCGTGAGCCACCATGCCCAGCCTGGAAAAGACTTTTCATATCCTTTATATTAAGTGATTTTCCACGAGGAGCTAGTAGGCAGAACGAGCAAAATTAATGCACTCTATAGTGCCAAGGAGGACCTAGAGGCTCAGAGAGGTTGAGCAACCTGTCTAAGGTCACACAGCCCATAGGTAGCAGAGCTGGGATTAGAACTCAAGTCTTCTAGTTCTGGTCTAGTGTTTTTTTTGGTTGTTGTTGTTTGTTTGTTTGTTTGTTTGTTTCTGCTCTCCACTGCTAGCACCTGCCCTGTTACGATTATGGGAAATTGTCGACCTAGTCACTGACACAGCTGGTTTCTTCCTCATCATAGCTTCCCCCACACTAGTTTACTTATTACTTATGTTGAGCACATCTTATGTACTCCCTCATTTGCAGCTTCTAACAGCGGGCAGGATGGTGTGCAGTGCACTCAGCGCCACACTCACTGTACTCAGGAGCCTCCCTTACTGCCATTACAGGAAACCTACTACCATACTTCCCAGCCAGCTGGCTTCCAGTTCGTGTTGGTGGTGGAAGGGAAAGGCCAAGTTTCTTTGGCTTCTAACCCTGCCTCCAGAAGTGGTGGCTGTAGAGACAGCAGCTTTGGCTGGTGAACGTGGACCCCTGGGTTTCCACCCAGCCATCTTGGTACTAAGAGCAGCAAACTCCACAGCACAAAGGACTTTTTCCCTTCATTCCTCCAACCCAAGAGTGGTAGCAGCTTCTTACAGTTACCAGTCTTTAAGTAACTTAACCTTCCTCCTCTCCTTCTCCAGCCCTCCCAATGCCTTAGTCATCCTTGTGTTCAGTTTCCCCTGACTGAAATACTCAGGGTGGTTTAGGTTTTCCAGGATTGGTCACTACTTTCTCAATCCCTTCTTTTTCTTTCTTTCTTTCTTGAGACTCTATCACCCAGGCTGGAGTGCAGCGATGTGGTCATAGCTCACTGCAGCCTCGAACTCCTGGGATCAAGAGATCTTCCTGCCCCAGCCTCCTGAGTAGCTGAGACTACAGGTGCATGCCACCATGCCCGGCTAATTTTTTAATTTTTTGTAGAGATGAGGGCTCTCACTGTGTTGCTCAGGCTGATCTTGAACTCCTGTCCTCAAGCGATCCTCCCTGCTTGGTCTCCCAAAGTACTGGGATTAGAGGTTTGAGTCACTGCACCCAGCCTATTAATCCCTTATCAATACAAATAAGAAAAAATTAGATACAGAAAGGTCAAGTAATTTGAACCCAGGACTTTGATTTTTCAGAGCCGAGACTGGAGGCCTTTTCTTTGTGAGGCCTGTGCATATGATCCGGTGAGCAATACAGAGCTCCAAAGCCCAGGTTCTCCACAGAGAGAACAGCTCAGGCTTTCAGTCATCCACCCGGTATTGGGATCCCAGGTCTGGGAAGAGACTGACAGTGGACAGCGGACTCAGGCTAGGATAACCACTCATTCCTGGCTGCCCTGAGCCTGCTGTGCCTACCTCTCTCCCCACGAGTGAGTCAAGTTCTAGGCTTGACTTTGTGAGGTCACCAGAAGACCTTTGCTGAGCCCCCACTCTGAAATATGTTCACCTGTATATTTTGTGTTCCACCTCAAGTCTTTATCAGGAATCCATTTTTAAAAGTCTCACCACTGAAGACACATCCATTCTGTCCCTCCATCTCCCCTCTGTCAGGTCCGTGTGATAAACTTGGTCTCTCTTGAACTGGCTGTACAGGCTGCTGTAAGATCCTGAGAATTATGTTTCCTCCTTTCGCTCTGGCTGCCAGGAAGCTCATAGTCAAAACTAATGCTGTGAATCATAAAGATTCACATTAGCCTTCATAGCTAACATATTTGATTTCTCCTCCTTTTTATACATTCAGTGTCAAGATTTTACAGTTTTATCATACACACAATGTGCTGTTCTTTGCTGATTTGCCCTCAGACCCAGTCCTGGCCCTCCCCCTACCTCCTCTCTCTCTACTGCAGGGGGTCAGCTCCTGTGAACGACATTTCCCAGGCTTCGTAGCTAGCTGGCCTCCAGCGAGGTCAGCCAGTGGATAGCATTGGCAGGAGCCTGGAGAGGGAGGAGCACTTCTCTGCTTTAAGCAGCTTCTTGGCAGCCGCTGCTCCTCCCTGGCTCCACCTCCTCCTGCCCAGGCCAATTATGGTTCCAGCTTCCACCGGGTATCCCCAGCTCCAGGGTCCCAATAATCCCATCTTCACACTTTGTCTTCCCCGTCCAAGGGGTGGAAGCAACTTCCTCCAATTGCTGACCTCAGAGTCGCTGCCTTCCCCAGGTTGCCCCCCACCCCCCGCTTTTTTTTTGAGACAGAGTCTTGCCCTGTCATCCAGGCTGCAGTGCAGTGGCAGGATCGTTCACTGCAACCTCTGCCTCCCAGGTTCAAGCAATTCTCCTGCCTCAGCCTCCCAGGTAGCTGGGATTACAGATAGACACTACCACACCCAGCTAGTTTTTGTGTTTTCAGTAGAGATGGGGTTTCGCCATGTTGGCCAGGCTGGTCTTGAACTCTTGACCTCAAGTGATCTGCCTACCACAGCCTCTCAAAGTGCTGAAATTACAGGCGTGAGCCACCGCATCTGAGCCCTTTCATCATTTCTAAAACCCGAGTAACTGACTCCCAGGATCAAATTCTACCTACTGAGTTACCTGATACAGGGTTTATTTCCTACTGAACTCAGACTGATATGTGTGCCCCACGTGCGAGGTCAGGTCAGACCCATTTTGAAAACAGTTGGGGCATAAATCCTCCACAGGGCACAGGCTCTGCAGGCGTTGTTGAGGGGAGCAGAAGCCCGGAGGAGGAACAGAAGAATTTAGGGGCAGGAAGGAGAGCAAGTTCTCTGGGGCAGCGGATTTGGGTGGGAAAAAGGAGCCAGTAGGGCTCAAGAATGGACCCTACGGCTGAGGCGGGCAGATTGCCTGAGCTCAGGAGTTCAAGACCAGCCTGGGCAACACAGTGAAACTCCATCTCCACTGAAATAGAAAAAATTAGCCAGGCATGGTGGCACATGCCTGTAGTCCCAGTTACTGGGGAGGTTGAGGCAGGAGAATTGCTTGAACCCGGGAGGTGGAGGTTGCAGTGAGCAGAGATTGCACCACTGCACTCCAGCCTAGGCAACAGAGCAAGCCTCTGTCTCAAAAAAAAAAAAAAAAAGAATGGCACCTTCAGGCCAGAGCGAGGCAGGCTGAGGCACACGGCAGAGGGTGGGCTTTGGAGACAACAGATCAGGCTCCCAGCTCTGACGCTCCCTCCCCGTGTGACCCAACACTTCACCTCTCTAAGCCTCCACTTTCTCATCTGTAAAATGGGAAAAATAATACTAGCCTCAGTGGGTTTTAGGAGACTCAAATGAAATGAAGTGCCTGAAACAAAAGAGCTGGTGGAGAAATGTCGGGCCTCGCAGGCCAGATGGAGGGGTTTGGATATGGTCCCCGTGTGAGGTCTGTTCTGCAAAACTGTCCTTCCCCAGGCCCCAAAGCATGAAATTCAGCACCCCTACCAGGTGTGTTAAATATTCACAGTATTTGAGAACAGGATACCAACTGGTGCAGTCACACCAGTGCATATGGGTACCTGCCCCCACCCAGGCCCGGGTTCCCCAAGGAAGCCACCTCTCAGAGCTGTGGTCCACGGCGTTCTCGTCATCCTCAGAGACCCTGAACTCGCTGATGCGGATCCACTCACTGGTGCGGATACCCACTGAGTAGTAGACGTAGAGCCTGCGGTTGTGCCGGAAGCTGGGGTGAAAGGCAATGCCCAGGAAGCCACGCTCGTCACCCTGCCAGGGCGAGGTGAGCACCGCCCAGCTGATGTTCAGGAAAGGCTTCTCTAGCCTTGAGCGGTCGGGCAGGTAGGCCCACACCAGCCCCACCTGCTCGGCCACGAAGAAGCGGTGGGTGCCATCCCTGGCATGGACCATGGCCACGGGGTTGCGCAGCCCGTTGGCCACCTCCTCCAGGCACAGCTGCAGGCAGCCCTTGGCATCAGCCACCACATGGCCCAGGTTTGAGTTGAGGTTCTTGTTGACCAGCAGGTAAGGGAAGCAGTAGTCCGTGTCATCCAGGGACAGGTAGCGGCAGAACCTGGCACGGTTGCCCTCCAGCGCCCGGAGCTCCTGGTCAGTTGAGAGATGATGGAACAGCCCCCGGCACTTATGCCACATGTCCAGGCAGTAGTCCTGGCAGAGCCCGGGCACCGTGCGCAGGGGTGTGAACGGGTCCTCGGCGTCATAGAGGTGGGCTGCATACGGAGAGCATTCCTGTAGAGACAGCGATGGCTCAGAGATGCTTCGTGGAGGTGCTTACCAGCTGTGTAACCTTGGGCGGGTCCCCCATCTCACAGAGCTTCAGTCTGCTGATCCATAAAATGGAGACAATGCCATCTGTCTGTTACCATGATAAGCCTCAGTGACAGTAGCAAACCTTAGGTCTTAATGTTTGTGTTAGAACACAGAACAACACTATTCCTACTCCTATTAATAGCAGCAGCAACAGCAGCAGCTACTCTGGAGCACCCGCCGTATGCCAGGAAGAGTCTGAGGCACTGCCACCCATCCTCTCTGTGTTAACAGTGCACCTCCGCCCCTACACCAGCACAGCCCACTGCTGCACTTAACTTGGGTTCCTGCCCAAGGCTCACCCCCGATCCTCCCTGACCACCCTGTCCGCACCCTCTAGTACCTTCTGGCCTCTATCTGTTGAAAACCAGTAAAATACCAAGTGCTCTCTGACTTGGCTCTGCCCATGGACAGCTCCACCATCAGCTCCTGCCTCTCTCCACCTCTCCAGCCTCCTGTCTACCTTCCATCTCCTGATATTCTGATACGGCTTGGATCTGTGTCCCCGCCCAAATCTCATGTAGAATTGTAACCCCCAGTGTTGGAGGAGGAACCTGGTGGGAGGTGACTGGATCACAGGGGTGGAGTTCTCACACATGGTTTAGTTTAGCACCATCCCCCCTTGGTACTGTAGAGTGAGTGAGTTCTTATGAGATTTGGTTTTTTAAAATGTGCCCCCGCCCGGCCACCATATCTCTCTTGCTCCCGCTGTCGTCATGGGACATGCCCGCTTCCCCTTTGCTTTCTATCATGATTGTAAGTTTCCTGAGAACTCCCCAAAACAGAGGCCACTATACTTCCTATACATCCTGCAGAACTGTGAGCCAATTAAAACTCTTTTCTTTATAAATTACCCAGTTTTGTTTTGTTTTGTTGTTTGTTCATTTGTTTTTTTAAGACAGTGTCTCTCTCTCTCTCTCTGTCACCAAGGCTGGAGTACAGTGGCACCATCTCAGCTCACTGCAACCTCTGCCTCCTGGGCTCAAGAGATGCTCCTGCCTCAGCCTCCTGAGTAGCTGGGACTACAGGCGAGAGCCACCACACCTAGTTAATTTTTTTATTTTTTGTAGGGATGAGGTTTTGCCATGTTGCCCAGGCTGCTCTCAAACTCCTGAGCTCAAGCCATCTTCCCGCTTCAGCCTCCCATAGTGCTGAGATTACAGGTGTGAGCAACTGCACCCAGCCACGTATTTCTTTATAGCAATGAGATAAGAGACTAATACGTACTCCCTGCCATTTCATGCCTCTGAGCCTCAGCACAGGCTGTCCCCTTTGCAGGTATGCCCTTCCCCTACTCTTCTCTGGCAGGCAGAATTCTCTTTATTCTTAAATCATGACCATGACCATGGGAGAAAGAGTGCTAACCAATCACAGCAGTTCCTGGGGTTTGGGGCAGATTGTGGGCCAGGCACCAGGTCAGTGAGCCCGTGCATCTGCATTTCCTCCTCAAGGCAACCACAGGAGGGAGGCCTGTTCTTCTTACCACTGCACAGAGGTGGAAGCAGACAGCAGAAGGGAGCCACTAGCCCAAGGTATCATGTCACATGCTGATGGGCTGGGGTTGAGCCATGTCTGCTCAGCTCGACCTGTCAGCTCCCTGCTACCCATCCCCAAACACCAGTTAAGTGTCCCCACACCACTGCACCCTCTCTGCACCCTATCCCTACCCAAAGCAGAGGCCACAGCTCCAGGCTGTCTGCAGGCCTTCCTGTTAGAGCCGCCGGCTTGTGGCGTGGTCATTCTTTCTATCTGTGGCTGACACCCTCCCCCACCTGTGAGTCCGCCAGGCCAAGGCCGGGTTTGAGTCAGCTCTGGGCCCCCCAGAGGCTTCGGGGGATGCTCCTTCTGCAGTGGGGAGGTGCTGACAGTCACGTAGTCCCTCTCCTCACAGGGAAGACCAGGCTGGCTTCCAGCAGGAGGCCTCTGGGATGTCTGGGGGAGGACTGGGCATGGGGGATGGCAGGCTGCCTCCCAGTGTGTTCTCAAGTCCCAGGCCAGGGCCCACTCACTCCTGTGACATGATTGTGGCTTTTGTTCATGCCACAGCCTGTCCTTCTGGCCCCTCTACTGCTGTGAGGACAGGTCTCACCTGACAGGCCAAAGGCCACTTGGCAGAATGTCTTGAGGTCCTGGTCAGTTACTGTCCCAGGTACAGACCAGGGTGCCATGTCTTACATGCTCCCCTCTGCCAACGAGCCGGCCAGATGGCCAGGCCTTGGGCCGCTGTGTGTGCTGTCCCTCCCATGGTTCCCCGGGAACCGCCTGTGGGTCAGCCGGCAGCTGCACACGGACCAGGGAGGGGCTGTGTGCACACGTGCCTTCTTTCATCTTTGCAAGGTAGGGTCATTGTCACTATTTTATTTTGTTTTATTTGTTTATTTATTTTTTGAGACAGGGCCTCTCTCTGTCTCCTGGGCTGGAGGGCAGTGGCACAATCCTAGTTCACTGTAGCCCTGACCTCCTTCGCTCAAACGATCATCCCCACCTTGGCCTCCAGAGTCGCTGGAACCACAGACGGGCTCCACCACACCCGGCTAACTTTCATTTTTATTTTTTGCAGAGACAGGGTCTCCCTATGTTTCCCAGGCTTGTCTTGAACTCCTGCACTCAAGCGATCCTCCTGCCTCAGCCCGCCAAAGTTCTGGGATTACAGGCATGAGCCACCGCACATGGCTTGACTCCTATTTTATAGATGAGGAACTGAGGCTTAAAGAAGGCCACGTGCCAAGAAGTAGCCAAACCTGGGCTCACACCCAAGCCTCATGATGCCTGGACTGGTGTTCTTTCCAGATTAGTCAGCAACATTTCATTCACCAAGAATTTACTGAGCAGAGATTGTGGCAGGCACATCTTGGATCCAGAGACACAGTGAGGGGCAGAATAGACATCTGGAAGGCAACAAGAGCCCTCCATTCACCAAAGCTCAGTCCAGAACTACAGAGGGAGCAAAAGTTCCCTCAGGGAGCCAGGCCAAAGACTTCGGCATCCACACGTCCCAATCACACAGCAGACACTTCCTCGTGGCCTATGTACTCTTACTTACACACAATGTAATATGGTGCCCAGACCAGGGTAGTCCAGAACCAGGAAGCGACAAGAGTGATTGCTACTGGCAAGAGGATGATCCGCAGCTTGGCCTCAGTGTGTTTGGGGGCAGGTGGCAGGAAGCCCACAGCAAACCAGCCCAGTATCGCAGGCTACAGCTGCCTGGGCCATTCAGTGCAGGGCAGAGAGCCCCCATCTTGCCCAGAGTTTGCCATCCCATGTCACTGACACTCGTGACTTATGGCTTTGGGTCCTGAAGGTTTCTTATGTCCACCATTCATTTTTTGAAAGACCAAGCCTTTGCGCACAGTGTCCTGTCCATCAGATATTCACTCCTCACCTACTTCCTCCTCTGCAAACTGCTATTCATGACTCAAGGCCGACTCAAAGGTCTCCTCTTGTCCTCCATGCTCCTAGGGCCCTGAATGGCCCATCCCTGGCCCTTACGGATGTTCCCAATGCACTCTGTCCATATCTCAGGCATGACACTCACACCATGGAATCTTGTAGCTTACAGGGTGAGTTCTCTACAGCAGTCACTGCTCCACCGCCAGGGGCGCTCCAGTCAGTTGGCTTGGCTAGGATTTCATTATCTCTTTGCTTGTCTGTCCACTCTACGGACTATGGGACACAGTGGGGCTTCAAGGAGGGAGGCAGTGTGGCGAAGCGGTTAGGAGAAGGGTTTTGGAGCCAGAGCATACATTCCCCATGGGGAATGCTCCTTAACCTCTCTGTGCCTATGTCCTCATCTATAGAACGATGCTCCTTAACCTCTCTGTGCCTATGTCCTCATCTATAGAACGATGCTGCCTTAACCTCTCTGTGCCTATGTCCTCATCTATAGAACGGGAAAGGAGTTCCAACCTCTTAGAATTGTTGGGAGGAATAAATGGAGAAGATGCGTGTGTTTGTTCAGTAAATATGAGCTATCAGCATGCAACCAACATTCAGGAAGCCTTCCCTGAGGTATGTGGCCTTGTTCCTACACTCCTTGAGGAATCTCTGGCACCTTCCTGTGTGTGTCAGTCTCCTGAAGTGACGAAGGGGACTTTTGAGACTGGGCCTGTGACTTGCCAACTGCTTTTGGGCCCAGCATCCAGCACAGGGCTGACTCCTAACAGGCTCAGGAAGAGCCTGCTGAATACACGAGCCCGTAGGGCACATTTCACGGAGATCTCCATCAGAAACCATGCTTTGATGATTTCAGCGGCTTAGAGCGGCAACCCCAGTCACAGGGGTGGTTACTGATGTGGAAGCTCACACCAGATGCACTGGGGGTGCCACGCGCCATGGCTGTCCTCTCTCCTCCAGAGGACACAGGCACTTACTGGACAAGCAAAGCCCCAGGAAAGAGTCTCCCATCTCCCCAAAGCAGGTGTGAAGGCCTGAGTGCTTCCACACTGACAGACATCTATAAATAAGGCACCTCCATCACCTCCCCATGTGGAAATTAGGAGGTGCCAAATGCAGACTCTGCCTTGGCTAGCAGAGAGCACGGTCCTCCCACCAGGGTGCTCCAGGAGGCCCCGTCAGTGAAACTGTAACCCAGCCTCAGCCGCTGTCTCTAAGCTCACTCCAGACATGAGGTCACTCTCAGAGACGCCTGGGCTGAAGTGTTAGCAGTCACTTCACTGCTGGTTGCTTAAGGCCAGGCTGTCCTGGGAAGGTTCCCAAGAAAAGAGAGGTGCCCTGCCAGGGAACAGCATCAGGACCGACCCTTCCCTTCCTCCATCCACCTGCCCCCCTCACTGCCCTGCTGAGTCAGGCACATAGCGAGTGCCTCATAGACAAATGTGGCATGGATGCAGGAACTCTGCTATGTGACAGGGGTGGGGAGACCAAAGGACCTGGTCCTGAGGAGCCCCCAGGCTGCTGAGGGAGGCAGATGCTTGGCCAGACCATTCCCGTGCCCTTGAGGCGCACAGCATGGGAGTCCAGCAGAGCCCACCTAAAGGTGGCCAGCCCACCCTTTGTTGCATTCTGGAGCTCCCAAGGGCCCCCTCCTCATCCTCCCAGAGCCTACTGCTTCCCACCTAGATATGTGTTCACATTAGTGAGTGTGGTCCATGTCCCCACCTCAACCACCGCTGAGCTGTGTGACCACTGGGCAAGTCCCTGCCTCCCTCTGAGTCTTCCTTGAATCGGGCTCCGAGCCTCACCTGGACCCTTCCCAGGGCTGGGCAGCCAGTGAGGGCCAAGGAAACCCTTGAGAAATCCAACTGCGAACATTTACTGAGCCCTTAGTATGTGGCATTTAATCTGCATGGCAACCCAGGGGGTGGTTAAGGTTTTATTTTATATATTATATTATATTATATTATATTATATTATATTATATTATACTATATTTTTGAGATGGAGTCTTGCTCTGTTGCCCAGGCTGGGGTGCAATGGCTCGATCTTGGCTCACTGCAACCTCTGCCTCCCAGAGTCAAGTGATTCTCCCGCCTCAGCCTCCCGAATAGCTGGGATTACAGGCGTTCCCCAACATGCCCAGTTAATTTATATATTTTTGTAGAGATGGAGTTTCTCCATGTTGGCCAGGCTGGTCTCGAACTCCTGACCTCAAGTGATCTGCCCACCTCGGCCTCCCAAAGGGCTGGGATTACAGGCGTCAGCCACCGCACCCAGCTTCATTTTAAAGACACTGTGAGGTGCAGCAGTGACCTGCCCAGGTCACGAAGCTGGGGAAGTGACAGAGCCAGGATCAAACTCCAACTCCAAGTCAGCCCTCTTGTCCTTCCCCACATCAACTGCCCCTGCTGGCCGAAGGCTGGGACACAGCCCTGCCCACTGGGGCCTCTCCAACCCAGGCCTCTCACTGGCCAGATGCTGGGGCAGGAATGCCTTGTCCTGCCCCATTTCTGCATTCAGCCAGGCAGCATTTGCCCACCTGGGTGTGGTGAGGCACTGGGGCCTCAGACTGCCACAAGAGGAAAACAAACAGCAGTGGCACCGCCAGGTGTGCACAGAAGCGGGGGCTCCACTTCTGTGGGAGATGGGGGGCCCAGGAACTTCAACACATAGCTGTTGCTCATTCCTGACTGAGCTTCTGCCAGGCCAGGGCGCCATCCCCAGGAGAGGACACAGCACCCACAGAGGTGATGGCGGAAGTGGCAAGGGCATCAGGATGGGGGTGAGACTCTTGTGGGGGGCAGTGGCCCCAACCCCCGAAACAACCCCTGGCCACACGTTGACCACGCCCACGGCAGGGCCCCTTGCTTTCACTGCCCTGGGGACAACACAGACACAGAGGAGCACTGACCGGGACAGATGCCTCTCCACCTTGGTACCCCGACAAGGGTGCAGCTGCTCGGGGTAGGACGCTGGGGGCTCGACTCAAGGGGACCGGGGCAGAGGAGCCCCCAGCCTCTGAGGAAATGATGACATCATCTGTCCGTCCCTCCTGCTTCAGGAGGGGAAACTGAGGCACCGAGAAGGCCCAAGTCACAAAACGAATGAATGGCAAAGCCAAGAGTCGCCCTGGGATGCGCGGTCTCCCCGCCCCGTGCCAAATGACTCCCTTTTGGGGCCTAGAGTTCGCCGCCCACTCTTGGCCTTCGCCCCCGCGGGGTTCCGATCTCTGCTCCAGGACCCGGCCGCCCGCGCCCCGCCCCTCCCAGTGGCCGCGCGCCCGCTCACCTGGCACAGCAGGTCCCTCGCGTAGCCGGCGCACGCGGCCCACTCGGCGGCGTCCACGCGGCTCGCCAGGTCCCAGAAGCGGCGGGTCAGTTCGGCGTCGCGCCCTTCATCGCAGCAGCCGAAGTCCGAATACTGCGCGCAGAGGCGCAGCAGCTGCGGCGGCCGGAAGGGCGGCCTGAAGTCCAGGCACTGCGGATGCGCTGCGGCCCCGAGCACCCAAAGCGCCAGCAGCGCCCCGGCCCGAGCCATCGCTTCGCCCCGCGGGGGAAGAGGCGGAGGGACGGCAGCCCGAGTCCCCTCCCGGGGCGCTCACAGCGGCGGGGAAGGGGCGGGCGCTCCCCTCCCCTACACGCAGGGCCTCGAGTTTGGGGACCTCCCCTTCTAGGAGGCCACCTCTGGTCGGGGACATGCGGCGGGACTGAAGGGAGAGGGACGCGGCGCAGAATGCGGTACGACCTCTTTTAACCGCTTTCCCAATTCAGTGGGAGTGGCCGGGTTTGTAGAAAGCCCCGGTGTGTTTTCCCGGTTCCGCCTGGGGCCCTGCTTCCTCCCCACAGGGCGCTATTTAGCCAGGGAGGCGCAGGGCCAGAGGGCTGGACTTCTGGGCTCCGGTTCCACCACCCACTGGGCTAGGGGAAGGGATGCCCGCAGCCGGTCCCCGAAAGCTCTCACGTAAGTTTAAAAATGGGGGCGCGAGGGAAAGGACAGGGGGTGTTGCCCCAGGACTCTCAGGGAGAAGCGAAACCTGGCCTAGGGGTGGGGAGGGGGGGACGGAGCAGCTACCGCAGTCCACCCTTTGCCCTTACTGTGTGCTGCTTCCCAGTCTCTGCTCCTGGGGCAACGGATTCTCCTGCAGCCCAGGACCCACTGGGGCTTCCCACTTCCACTCTCGCATAGGGAGCACTGATGAGTCTACCCCCTGGGGTGGGCGTCTAGCCCTTTGTTCTGCTGCCCCTGCTGAAGATTCAGACCCAACCCCGCCCCACCCCACAACACACACATACAGACGCGCACACACAGCCTCACCTACCCCAGAATCTCACAGCACCAAAACCACCCAGGCATTTTCTCAAGCGGACCTCAGCCTTCGCTCCTCCCTGGAGTGTCCTTCCCCATCTTCTCTGTCCAGTGAGCTCCTACTCCATCTTCATGGCCCCAACGCACACATCCGTCCTCTGCAGGTCTCTTTGGACTGTCCCGGGGGACCGTGTTTCTGTCTTTGGGCTCGTGCTCCTGGCAGAGCTGGGGGTGGATTAGATGCAGCAGGGCTGGAGCACTCAGAGGTCTGTGGCTCTGGCCTGAACAGGTACAATGTAAGAGTCAGTGTCTCTACTCAAGACCAAACATCTCTGAGTATTTGAAACACAGGAAATGTAACGCAGGGACTTGAAGTCAAAGAGGCTAAGAAGCCATACAGGGCTCAGTGAAGTAACCTTGAGATCAGCAACAGTAGGAACAGTCCCCAGGTCCTTGATGCAGGGAGAGCAAATGTTACCGGAGCCAAGGAGCTATGGTCACCTTGTAAAAGCTGGACCCTCACAAGGCCTGTCTGGCCAGAGCTGGAGATAGCCACCGTCAGAGATTCTGCGCAGAGAGAGCGGGAGAAGTACCTCGGCTTTGCCCTGCCACCTCCCCTCCAACTCTCACCTGTGACTTTCATTGGCTGAACCTGGCAGAGGGCTGCTAGGGTGGGAAATGCGGACTGCAGGGGCTCCCTGCATAGAGAGCAGGGCACAGGCAGAGCCAGGATGGAGTCGGAGGGCACACAGGCCGAGGGAGGGCATCTACGATGGCCCCTACTTCCCAGCTGGGACTCAGAACTCGGTGATAGTCACACATCAACACAGGGCTCCAGATGGGTGTACAGAGGTGGCAGTGACACAGAGCCTGGGCCATAGCCATGAGGTCTGGACTCCGACAGCCACAGAAAACATCAAACACAGCCCAGCCGCAGCCAGAGTAACATAAATTCTCACCCTAAGACCTGTTTATCTCAGTTCCTGTTATCTAGTATACCCTGACTGACTTTCCAGAAAAACAAGGCATGAAAAAAGATAAGAAAAGTCAGTCAGGGGCCAGGCACAGTGGCTCATGCCTGTAATCCCAGAACTTTGGGAGGCTGAGGCGAGCGGATCACCTAAGGTCAGGAGTTCGAGACCAGCCTGGCCAACATGGTGAAACCCCGTCTCTACTAAAAATACAAAAGTTAGCCTGGCGTGGTCATACACGCCTGTAATCCCAGCTACTGGGAGGCTGAGGCATGAGAATTGCTTGAACCCAGGAGGCAGAGTTTGCAGTGAGCGGAGATCGTGCCATTGCACTCCGGCCTGGTCGACAGAGCAAGACTCTGTCTCAAAAAAGAAAAAAAAAGGAAAAAAAAAAAGAAAAGTCAGAAGGAGCATCAGAGCCAGCCTCGGACATGACACACATGCTGAAATTACCAGACGTGGAATTTAAAATAACTATGACTAATATGTTATGGGCTCTGGTGGGAAAAGTTGACAACATCAAGACCAAACATCTCTAAGTATTGACAAGGACATTGCAAGGACAAATGGGCAATAGAAGCAGAGAGGGATCCACCTTAAGAAAGAAAATTAAGGCCGGGCGCAGTGCGTTATGCCTGTAATCCCAGCACTTTGGGAGGCCAAGATGGGTGGATCACAAGGTCAGGAGATCGAGACCATCCTGGCTAACATGGACAAACCCCGTCTCTACTAAAAATACAAAAATTAGGCAGGTGTGGTGGTGGGTGCCTGTAATCCCAGCTACTTGGGAGGCTGAGGCAGGAGAATCACTTGAACCCAGGAGCAGAGGTTGCAGTGAGCTGAGATCACACTAGCCTGGGCC